CTTCACCTGATGCCACTGCCACCCGTGAGATGGTTTAGATCGGTAGGCTACTGGGTGAGGCAGTGAGAGGTGATTATCGGATAGTGATTGGTGAAGTTTCTTGAAGTTTTGTTTTTCTCTTTCAAAAAGTGGGGAAAGTAATATTCTGTGTGTCATGATCAGCCCTTTTGCTGGATCCTCTTCATTCTTATGTTTGTTTCTCCTGAGCGTCTCCTAGTTTCGATTCCTGAGTCCCTTGCCAGTAATTTCTGGATTAATGCTTCTGTATCATCTACCTCTTCATTAAAACTGCCAGAAACCATCTCTGCTGTTGGGTTCTCTACTAAACTTCACAGAGCCTGACACTCTGCTTTCCTTTATTGTCCCTTGTTGTTCTGTCTTTTGAGGCTCAAACAGGATCAATATTTCACTTCTGTTCTTCTGAATTCCTATTACCATTAAGCTATTCTTCTTATTCAGACGTTTTATTGTTTACGTCCCAGCCTGCCATGCCTGCTATATGCGTGCTGTTTCAATCCAAACAGGGCAAACATGACTATTTTCTCTTGTGATTGAGAGAATAGGTTTTACTTTGCAATTGCATCTCTCTTCCCATCAGAAGTTGAACTGTCTTCTTGTCTGAATCGATCCTCTAGAGCATGGGTCATCAATGTGGTGCCCATGGGCACCAAGGGGCCCTCAAGGACAACATGGGGTGCCCTCAGCATCTTTTGAAAACAGAACAATTCACCAGTGGACTAAATATGAAATGTTATTTTTTACTGAAGCTCTTATTTTGAAGCATTTATAAAGCATTTTATCATATCAATAAATTAGAACATTTGAGGATTTATATGGATTTCATAATGAGAATATCTAAAAGCAAATAAAAAATTAAAAGAAACAATAGAAATATGTTTATTATCTATGAACTTCAGCTGAACGCCGACTCCTCTAGTTCATAGGTCGGTATTGGTAGCCCGTCCTATGACTCAGTACCCATAAAGTAGCCCTCAGCCTTAAAACAGTTGGTGACCCCTGCTCTAGAGTCTAGACTTCCTTTAGGCCACTCAAAGAGCCCACTATGCTCTTAAGAGCATTGCATTGCTTCACAGCTCCCTGCCCTTGCAGATAACAGCAGAAATCATAGATAAAAACCAAATTACAGTTTTACTAGTAACTGCCAGACTAGAGCAATGTCTCGGTTTGACATCACTGGTTTTATGGCCGCATCTGAAGCATTCGGTTACTAAGGCAGTTGCTATGGCGTCTTCTTTCATTTGGCTGAAAGATGAATACATTTATCTATTTTTTTTTTTTTTACATTTTTTATTAGCCATCCAGTCCTTGGTGCAAAAAAATAAAGGTCAATTTCTCTTATTTAACTCTTTAATTAAAACTTTCATTAAAACTGTTCGCTTATGTGGACCCAGGGATGCTGGAGCCGCTGTTTGGCTTTCTATAATGATTACAGCATATTGACTCGCTCTGTAAAATCCTGCTCCACCATTTTAAGATGAAAGCAGCAGATAAAAGCTTGAATAAGTAACTGGAGTGAAGCTTGATGCCCACCATGTGAATTTCTGGCAGATTGTTAGGTGAGCATCACCACCCAAATGTGGCAACTTTGTCGCTGGAACAATGTTTATTGTATACACACAATTACAAAGAAAGTGGAGAGGAATTTAAAAGGCCTTTATAGAATGATAACACCACTTTCCTTACCTGGTCTTTCTTCTTTTGCATAACCTGCACCTTGTAAAACAGATAACAACAAAAAAGACTGTCATAAAGAAAGCAAGAACCAACTCGTATCTTGTTCTTCATCACTGGTATCATGTAACACACAAACACAAGTAACAGAAACAGATTTAAAAAAAATGTTATCCTCACTTTAATTGTTGCACAATGATTAAGAGCAAGAAAAACAGTATTGCTGGGTAATATGATTGGAATTTTCGCTACATGATTTTACCCAAACATTTGCAAAAACCACAGAAATAAATCCATATTTCCACTGGGCATAAAGGTTTCATTGGTTTATTGTCATGATCTGCTGTGATAGCTGGCCTTAATTACTCATGCCGTTCAGCTGCTTAACTCTTTCCAGCTCCTAATTATTACTCATCTCATCCACCTGCCTGTTTTCCTTTATATTGGGCTCAGTTCCAGCTCTCATAGCCAGACCATTGTTTTGCTTTCTGTTTGATGTCTGTTTTACTGTTAGTCGGTCTGTGAGTTTTTCAGTTTTATTCCACGGTTCTTGTCCTGGATCCTGGCGGCTAGTGGAAAGAGGGTTTTTGTCTGTCTCGTCTCCTAGTCATCTACTGTTCGTCCCCTGCTGAGTCCCCAGGGTTTTTTGGCTCTATAATGCGGGAAGGATCAGTTTTTATTACACTCAGCCTGGTTTCAAGGAGGAGACCAGTTTAAAGGTCCTGCTCAATTTGTGGTTCCACTTCTTGTCTCTGCTACCCTTTTCCATTGAGCCTGCCCATTTGCACCTGATCCTGTCTGCTCCTGTGCGTGTCCGCCTGGTCACACTTCCGGACTCTGAACCTGCCTGGGAGCAGGGGCGGAGCTAGATCGGGGGCCCGGGGGTGGCCATGGCTACCCTTACCCAAACATTGGCCACACCTGTGGCCACCCCAACCATTTTTTCCATCTAATACAAACGGAGCCAGCAATAATACTCTCAAGTGGAATGTTTGTATTTAACATTTTCATTTTCTATATGAAGAGACTTAGAGACCCAGTCTGTAAGAAGGAGCGCTACCGCAGGTCATTCATTCCTGCTGCCACCAAACTCTATAATAATGCACTATAACAACAATAACTCCTGTAAAAACCACTGTGCAGCTACATTATAGTTTTTAATTTATTGACTGTGAACAATATCCTGTGCAATATGCTGAATGTGCAATATTTCTCCCCCTGTATATAAGCCATCCGGATTGTGCATATTTTTATTTATAATTTTTTTATCTCTTATCTTTATTTTGTTTTTCATTGTGTGCGATACATGTACACTTGCACCTTAATCCTATTTATCTTAATATACTGTATATACCTGGATATACTGTATATATATTGCTTATTCTTAATGCACCTTTTTCCTCCATGTTTGCACCTTCTGTAACTTCTATACCAATATGTGACGAGTGAATTTCTCCGCTGTGAGATCAATAAAGCTAATCTAATCTAATCTAATCTAATCTATATGTAAACAATTACCTGAAAACAAAAACACTGTGGTTAATTATGCACATCAATACACTAACATTAAAGATAGATACAGAATTAATGCTCTTTTCAGAAGTAGATTTTGTGTTATATGGGGTAAAGAGAAAATTATGTCTCTGCAAGTCATCTAGGAATCTTCAATGAAATCAGAGATAAATAACTACTTTAATAATTAATCCATTTAATGTGGATATTAGTACATGTAAATATTAATTTATGCAGAACGATTATTAATAAAAGTAGGTAAGTAATGACAATGAATAAGAAGTTCGCCCCAGAACTCAAAACTGAATTAATTCTGTCCACTATTTAGACAGCATGGATGTTTAAATATATGCCTCTATTTGTTAGTTTGTATTTATTTAGAAAATATGGATTTTTTTTCTGTTTGATTTTCCTGTTGCAACAGTGTAGATTGACCCTTAGGTTCTGGCGCCTGTCCACTTTCGGCCACCCCTCAGTGTGGTTATTGCCTGGCCACCCTTATAAAAATGTTCTGGCTACGCCTCTGTCTGGGAGCTCTAGGATGCCTGGAAGCCTAGATGCTGCCTGATCTGTATCCCTGTTCGGGATCGGCTTCATTTAAGTTATCCGGAGCTGCTGCACAGGGGACACTCTAGCTGATGCATGCTGCGTCAAGGCTGATCAGTCTTCAGTCCAGCGGCTGGATTGCTCCCCTCCTACAGCATCTGTGAGCCGAAGATCCTAGCAGCTCCACTTTAGTTTTGTTTGTTTTTATTAAATAAACGCTTTGAATTTTCCTACTGGCTGTCTCACCTTGAATACTGGGTCCATTAGTCCCGTTATATGACAGTGTATAACAGCAGAAAGTATTGAAGTAGCAGGCAGAGAGGTTTGAGGTTTTTATATGGCAATAATAAGATATATAGATGAAGAATGAATTAAACAGATTCTTATAATGAATATGTTAAGTATTTTCAACTTAAATGAAAAATCTAGTTTAGACGCAAAATGAGATGGTCAGAAAAAGTTAGAATTTTAAAAAATCCAAAGTTTAACTGATTATACGTGCTGATTGATTCTACATTGAATGGCTAAGCTAAAGTAAAAAAGGCCAATAATGATATATACGACTTAATATTTCCATTACTTATAAAATTGCTAAGCTACAAGAAAAAGTAAAATCTGTTCCCTGTCTACGGGTTTTAAATAGTTTACTTCTGCAAATAATTTGAAGTAGGAAAGCATGAAATAGTAATTAGTTGTTACAAAATGGGGGTATGAAGGGTTAGAGGGAAGAACTCCTCGCCAATAATGTAGCCTCTTAATATTAGAGAACTGATTTATACCAATTTTGATAACTGGTGACTTACAAAAACTATGAATAATTTTATCACATGATGAACATTTCATTAAGCCCAAATTTACTTATGAAATTTTTAAACTTCACTGAGATGATTGTCTCCACTTATTTTGCTTTTTTTTAATTCCGTTTTTTCTTGTAAAAAGAATTGAAGAAACTGGTAAGTGCATTTTTCCGCATTACAACAATCAAATGTATTTTACAACAGATTTTTTTATAATAAATATGATTAAAAGCAAATTAATCCTTATGAAATAGCTTTTGTCATGTTGTAATATCAAATACACCACACTAATGCAATATCATTAATAACTGAAATTAAAAGTGTATTTCTTGGAAAGAACTTTGTTCATTATAGCAGTGTCAATCAAGATGTTTTTCTTACCAGGACCTGAACGGTCATCATTCCGTCGATTTCTAGTCTTTCCTCTTGGTGGCGGAGCAAGTGGTTTCGGCTGAGTTAAAGACCACCCTGTGTCAGAGCGAGTTTCAGCTGTACCATGTTTGAATCAACACATGGTGAACAAAGACATTGCATTGTCAGCATTAATGCAGGAAAAAAATTATCCAAAAAAGAAACTTCTCTAATTTCTTTTCCTTAGATTTTCTTAAAGTAACTGGAATAAAATTAAACTCATTTTGATATATTTTAAGCTATGACATCTTTTCCTCTTCTTTTAAATATTTTACGTTTATCAGGTATTAACACCTATAAGTTGAAGGGCAAACGTACTTATTAAGAAACATGAAAAAAATGCAACAAAGAAAGCCTATTATTTAATGATGGTTTGCTCCAATCTCCCTCCCTTCAAATGTAAATGGTTGCCTCTGGAGTCCGATAATGTTCCATTTTAAATTTTAAAATAATTAAACTCAAATAGCTTTGATTTCCCCAATCCAAACTTTTATGGACAAACGGACCTAGTGCGTGGGTAGAATCTACAGATTTCCCTCAGATTTTTAAAACGAGTGTTACTATTTGATCTCGAATTTATTATAGTTACTAGGAGACTTTTCCTTTTTTTTTTTGCAGTAAGCAGAGAGGAAGATCACACGTACAGTTCAGCCAGCTGATATATAATTGTTTTGGGTTATTTCAGTTCAGTTCTTTAAGGTTAAAGTTAATTTTGGATGGTTTTATCTAACTTTAATGTAGAAGTTGAGAGCTTCTGAGTAAACTTTGAATTAATCACTATCATCAATAAAATCCTTTGAAAATGGTACAACTATTGAGGAGTAAAATTAATTTAAAAAAAGCACATTGCTTGGATAATTTTTCATGACTTTCTAGCTCTGTGTTTCAAATGCCATGATAGCTAGGTGGCAGAAGCTGCAGTGAGGGCAGGAAAAGCTGGTGAAGGCTAGAGTTTTGTTCTATAGTAACCTCTGTTTGCCCTGGTCATCATTTTGACAATTACCTGCACATTTTTTAGATCTGACTTTTGTGTCTAAACCCATCTGTTTGCCGCCCCCCTCAGATTTAAAAGGTGTTACTGCATCTTATATGTTTCTATGGGCTTAGCCAGGCATTTAGCATAACCCAGAAAAATTGATGTTAGCAGCCCTATCTTGGGCAGCGGCAATATGATGACACGCTCCTCCTACACACGGTGGCTCACTTAGGGACAAACAATATATGAAATGGTTTTCTGATGGTGCAAAAAAAATATATAAAAATTAGAATAAAACAATCTGTAATTTCTTCATTACTAAAGTTTATTTTAACGATCCAAATTTGTATAAAAACAAGTTGTCATCTTATGTGCAGTGTGATTGAGCTTAGTCTGATCACAATATTTCAGTATAACATTTCTACATAACTTTTTTTTTATTCTAAATACTGGTGTTAGTGTAAACGTACCTGTTGGTTTTGGCTTATTATCTTTGTCTGAAAAAAAATAATAAAAAGCTTGAGATTAACTCTTTGTACTCTGCTTTCGTGTTGATCATTTCCTAAGTTCAAATTAGTACTCACTCAGAACATGGAGAAAGAAATCTTGTAAACAGGTTATGGAAGCCTCTCTTTCTAAGACACACCAGTATCTGCCTGAATCCTCCTGAGTCAGTATGGAGACGTTCACTTCAAGCACCCCACGCTGTTTTTCATCAGTAACTATATTTGAGCAGATGTTTCCATCATGTTTGCAGAATGTTCTGATGCTGCTTTCATCTGCTTGAGAATAATTGCAGGTAATGGAAACTGTCTCTCCAATATATGCTGTTTTGTTCACTGTTGTGTCATTGCCTGTGAGAACATAAAAAGCACATAAAGAATTTTTTACTAGGTGAGCTTTATTGGGTGGTGAGCTGACTGCAAACTTTCAAAAAATGTAAAGTTATACCCAGAGGTAATAATGGAAAATTCAAACTACAAGCCATACACAGAAACCTGTTTGCATTTTGACAATGGTCATGTAAATGATGTTGATTTGATGTAATGCACAAGAGGACTAAAACTGTTTCTGACATAAAATACAGTACTCATACTGTACTAATACGAGTAATGTACTGTAGTAGATTTTTAATGTTTGATTAAAAATCAATAAAAGAGGTATAAAATTGTTTTGTTATTTATCAAGGAAGGACTTATTTGTCTAAGAAAAACACGAATCATCCTTTTAACTTTATCAGAAAATGGAAACATGACTACCTCAAGAAGGGAACATCTGTGTCCCGGTGATCTGGGGTGCATCTTGATAACCTTTTTTCTATCAAGGGCCCTGTAGGGCAAGTCTGGGGCCACCCACACCGGATATTAAGCCTATTTCCCTTACGAAGAAGCTTTGTAAATTCATTTATGCACAAGCATGCCCTTGCATACATACTATGAGTGTTCAGTTCCAGTTGTTTACTGATACACATTAATAATAAATATTAAGCCACAGCTATATTGTGTAATCACCATAGCTTTTGCCTTCGACAAATATGAATTGTCAGGGTTGAGTTGAGGTTTTAAAGACCAAAAATGCAGAGGCAGAGGTAGGGATGGGAATCGAAAACCGGTTCCTCTTCAGAACTGGTTCCGTGTGTTCTAATATCATGGCACCGTTTGCCAGCTTGCTAAACAGTTCTCTTAACAGTTCCAGGCAGCACCAGAGCCTAGCGCTGGGCAGCACGACTTATATCACGTTTTTTCACGCAAGTTACACACACGGCATTCAGTAAGCAAGTACGACGTGAGCAGGCATAATTCTAGAAAAGCAAAACAAAAAATTGGCGTCCCATCGGGTAAAGCGATAGAAAGTTTGGCTTCATTTTAAGGAAGAGAAAGATGGCAACAAGGCGCTTTGCAATCACTGCAAAGTGGCAATTACTTACTAAGTTTATTGTTTCACAGAATCGATAAGAAATCGGAATTGTGAAAATCTTTTCAATTCACAACCCTAGGGCAGAGGTGAGTTCTTGTAGTTTTAATGGAATGTTCACAACAGGTAACAGAGGCAGGAATCCAAAAATGCAAACAAACCATAATCATGGAGTCATCAGGAAAAACATGCACGAGGAACCGAGGAAAGAAGAGGAACTAGCACTGAGGAACTACACAGGGAGAATATTTATGACTGACGGAACAAAGACAGGAATAACGAGCTGATTGGGAGCAGGTGTGAACAGAGGCTTCTAGAGAGGAGCTAGGGAAAAGGAGAACAACACAAGAGGGTAACAGAGGGCAACCAAAGAAAATCTAAGAATGCAAATACATCCAGAAAACTCAACAAAATAGGAGTTAAACCAATAAAACTAGAAAAGAAAAAAAATAAATAAATCAACGTGAAACTGAAAACTCAAAGAAAGATTAACAGAACCAAGACAGTGACATGGATGTCTAAGGGATTCCAGCTACTCTTGAAGCTTTTTTGATATTTACTTTGGTTTTTTTGATGTCTTCTTTTTGCTGTTATGTTCCCTGTTTTCTATTCCTCTCATCTCATACAGGTGTGTAAGCAGACTCCTAGGAGTTACTGGATATCTTCTGTGTTTTCTATTTTTGCTGTTTTGTTTTATTTTCCTTTTTTCATGCATTCGTTCCTGTCTCTATCTTTTTCTCTCTCCACTTTCTGTATTTCTTACTGTGTACCCTCTTTTTTTCTCACCTCCTTTTCCAGTTCCGTGTCCGTTGTATGACTTTTACTCCAAAATAATTTTCACATGCAAATATCAAGCGGAACCTTATGGTCATTATGGTCTCCGTGTGATAGTAAAGCTATTGGTCTTTCAGCTAGCTCTGGAACATCTATACCCAGAGCCATATTGGCAAAACAGGACACAAAGAAAAAAAAGAGTAATAAAAAATGCACCATCATAAGCCAATTTTATTCTTACAGTATGTTTAATTGAAACATTCTGTTTTAATCTGTTCAGATGCATTAATATGTTTTATGAAATAGTTTTCTAGTAATGGTTTAGATATGGGGAGAAGCAGTTTTATCTACTCTATTGTGATGGTAAAATAATTTTACACTCTGTTACGTTTAGACCTATTCTTCATAACAGTGATGGTGAGCTTGCTTTGTTTTCTTGATTGCGTAAAGTATTCACTCAAGCAAAACCCCTGCTAGATGACGTGAGTCTTATCTTGATGATTCCTCAGAACGAGTTTTACATGTTGTAGTAAGAGGTTAGACTCCTTTAGACTCATGGTTATTACAACAATCCTGTTTAATTGGAAAACTATCTACTTTGTCAGAATCCCTCCCTGTGCTTTTTAAGTAGTGAGGAAAATCTTATCTAGACCAGAATAGGCCGAAGCATTGACGAGACTGTGATCTCCCTTGCAAGGGTTAATAAATGCTCTTTGAATGAAGACCACTGATCTCATTTACTTGGTAATATAAGACTTAGATTTTTTTCGAATAACAAAGTATAAAGCAGTGGAGAGAAAATACAATGTTTTACTGACTAAGAAACAGGATTTTTGCTGATGATTGCACTTTTTTCTTTTAAATTCTGGCTAGAGCATGTTAGTGGATTTATTTTTTTCCTTTTGGAGATATTTTTTTTCCCATTATACTTACAGGCAATGTTGAAGGGAGCTTCATTAGTCCTTGCAGCTACAGGTAAACTTCCGCTGACTGTCATAAGAAATGCAATAAAACAGGTAAACTTTCATAAATCTAATGTGCTTCAGTCCCAAGTAAATTTACTCTATGAAAGAAATAAAATGTATTACCTGTCAGCCACCAGATAATAATGAAAATCATCCTCATTGTTGAGTTAAGACACATTCAATGACTATTTGAAGTGACACCAATGTGATACCATTTCTCCTTAGTCAGATCTCTATTTTCTGTTTGTTTCAACTTCTCCTCCCTTCTACAAAACTCCAAGAATTTGCATGATGTTTATAAAAGAGGATGTGACAAAAAGAAAGGACAGAAATGCAGAAGTAGAAGGTGTGTCCTGACTATTTTGCAGAGTAGATATCCATCTTCTTTAAGTTACTAAACATGGTACAGCTTCACTAAACAATGCCTCTTGTGTACTTCTAATCTTTGTATCAAATCTACCATATTACCAGCGCCTTATCTTCATGTAGCAGATATAGATATGTGAATGTGTTATACCCAGAGGTAATAATGGAAAATTCAAACAGCATGCTATTTACAGAAACCTGTTTGCATTTTGACAGTGGTCATGTAAATTATGTTGTTTTGTTGTAATGCACTAGAGGACAAAAACAGTTTGTGGCATAAAATACAGGACTCATATTGTACAGAGGTAGATTATTAATGTTTGATTAAACATTAATAAAAGAGGTCTAAAATTTGTTTTGCTATTCATCAAGGAAGTAGTTATTTGTCTGAGAAAAACATGATTCATCCTTTCAACTTTATCAGAACATGGAAACTTGCACTTAACGACAGAAATCTATTCTGTTGACACAGATGGCAGCCCAGCATATTTGTAAAATATTATGTTTACTTTACACTCAAAGGTAAAAATAAATCCTGTTAAATCTGTACATCTCTGTAAAATGTTAAGATGTTTATTACATCTTATCTATAGAGAAGTTAAAACATAAAATGTTTCACAGATCTATTGAAAAGTCAAAAAGTGTCCTAAATCACAGACACATTATTGTAAGCCAGTGAAACTATGAAATAATATTTTAGACCATTGTTTTGGATTGTTGTTTTTTTTGGCATAGAGCAAGAGGCTGTTTCAATAAAAAAAAAAAAGATTTATCTTGTCTTTATAAGTTTATTCAAAGGGATAGCAGTGTTTGAAGGCACACACACGTCAACCAAAAGCAGTTAAATCTGTATCTACAACCAAATTTGCCCAAAATGTCCATCTATTCAGAGCATTGAGTAGACATAATCTAAAAAGGATGACAATAATGCCCCAGTCCTATGTTTCCTCAATTGGCTCCCTGTCTCTGCCTGCATCCAATTTTCTTGAAAGCTAACACCTTCTAGTTTCTGAATATATACATGAAAATTGGATGAGTTAAACACCCAAGCTGCTTCAAGCCCTAGATGCATCATTTCAATTTATTTAAAATGTATTTGATGAAGTTCAGTGCATTTACACACTTGTGGGGGCTTGTCCGATTCATGTGGACTAATTATGCTTAACTGGCCTCATTGTTGGTCTTCGGGTTGCAGTTACGTGCCCCTGATTTTGGTTTTCCTGTGTTGCAGGTTGTTTGTGGGTTTTTGGGCTACTTTAAGGTCTTTGGAACCTTACTAGATTTTGGACATTTTTCGTGTTCCATATGTCTGTTGTTGGAGGTCCATGAGGATTTTTGCTCTTTTGTTAGAGGGGAGGAGAGAGAAGTCTCTTTTTTGTGTCAGGTAAGTGCTATCTGGTGTTTGTTGTTTGGCAACTCCATTTTAGACGACCCTGTTTATTGTTTTAGTTTGTTATTTTTGGGCTGGACTCTGGGCTGAGGGCACTGCCGTGGTTTGCTGCAGGTTAACAGGTTTTGGCCTGGGGGGATTTGCTGCCAGCGGTATCTTGGTGCTTCAAGTGCCTTAGCTCTTGGAGGAAGGCCTGATGACTAGGCTAAGTTTAGTCAGGGTTTTGGTCACTTAGTTAGCTGTAGGTAAATGGAGATTTGCCTTTGGTTAGTACCAGTTATGCACTTCCTGATTGTTGGTTAAAAAAAAAAAATAAATTG